GGCCAGGGCTGAGCTCTCCCATCCCTGCGCTGCACGACGAGCGTGGCAGGAGCAGGACAAGAAGGTGGTTCCCCAGTTGCCAGCTGTGATTTGTGATGTGCCACGAAGGAAGATGGAAGGGAGATCACAAAAACACCTCCTGCTCGGCTTTATCTCAGCCAAGAGCTGGGCTGCACACTGCAGGCAACGGGAGAGCAGCTGATGAGTTCACCACAGCCACCCTTCCCAGGTTCCTGCATTAGCATAACAATTACGGCCCCAGAGGCTGTAATGAGAATACAGGCTTTAAAAAATATACTAGAATTTAACAGAGAAATTAATAGTGTAGCAAATTGCGACGCTCAGCGCCTGGGCTGCGTGTCAGTCTTGAGCGACAGCTGTACGTGCAGCCTTGGCACAGTTGTGGCTTCCAGACTTTCCTCTGCATTTGGCCATCATTTCGACACCTACGATTCCAGTTTCCTGGGGAAAGAGCCTGCAGGGCACCACCATTCCTGCTGCCATTTACCCCAAAACATGGTATGTTTTGTGTCTGTTGCGCTCCTCTGAAGCCATGCAAAGTATTGACACTGAAATGCTGTGCAATATGAAATTAATTTATAGTGGTCACAGCCACTAGGGCTGGTCCAGTTCAAGTCTCAGTGTGTTTTGGGTTATAAATCTTTATAAATCTTGATTTTTTGAGGGCTTTCTTATTTAGTCCTATATATAGCTCAGCTATCAAAGCAGTTGCAGTGGTAAATGCCAGCGCTGGGTACTTGCTGTGACCCGCAGTGATACCAGGGGCGAAGCAAGAGCAGCTCACTCGCATCTTGTCAAGCTTAAAGGAGCTTCAGGAACACGCTGGCTGGTGAGCTGGAAGCTGTGGAGCCCCATTTAAAGCTGCTCAGAGCCTTGAGATTAACCCACATGTAAAACTGCTGTAATCTGAGCTGAGGGTGATGCCTGGGAAGCCGAGGATGTCCCCAGGACTAGCTGATGCGTTCCTGTGTTTGTGGTTGTTGCATCAGGATGTTGAACTCACTTTACTGGCATTTTTTTTTCCAAATCCTCTCAAAAAGCAGCTATTTTGGTGGCTCTCAGTGCCAGTGGTGACCACAGCTTGTCTAGGGGAGCAGCCAGCGCTGATGCCAATAATTCCTTTGGCTCTTTTTCTGACTGAGTCAGATCACTCAAGCATTAACCTTAAAATAGCAACTATTTTTGCAGTTGATATAATTAATCTTCTGTGTGTGTATGTTCTTTCCCCATCCCAGGCTCTGAAGCTTCACCACTCCCCTGCTGACCCACTCCCTCTGCTTTGGCACAAAAAAGCTCTTAGCAAAACTTGGCTTTTCCACAAAAAGAAAGCACAAAGTACAGGCTGTGTGTGCTCTGCTTTGTGAGTTCCCTGCTAGGCAAAAGCCATTTGTTGGTGCCTGCAGTCACAGATTCCTCGCTCATGTGGTCTGTTGGTTTTGGAGCATCTTCTTCATCTGATTTGGGGTGGGTGGGTGTGGAAGGGGGACGTTCACAAGCTGACAGGTCTGGGGTTGACACTGACCACAAAGACGACAGTGATGGGTGGGTGGATGTGTGGGTTTAGTGATGCAGCAGGAAAAGGGGTGTTGGTGAAGTCTGAAGCCTGAGTCGACCCTGTGTGGAGCCTCATCCAGCCCTGGGAAGTGGAGGAGAAAGGCAGGGGATGGGCTGAGCCTGGATACTGCTACCCCATCCCCAATTTCCTGCCCCAAAAACAGCTCCAGCCATGCCCAACATGGGGTTCAGAAGGTGCTGTGCTTGGGCTGTGTTACACCACTGATTTTTCAGGTCACAGCACAGCAGTGAGGGGGATGAAGGAGGAAAAAAACCCACCTTTTGTGATGAAGCACAGAGTGAGAACACTCAGTCAGGGGGAAATGCACCTCGCTGCTTGGATGCAGCGCTATTCCCACGAGGCAACTGCAATCCTGACAATTAAATCAGGAAGGGGAAAACCCCCGTGATGGCGTCTGAGGATGCTGATGAAATGTGTGTGGTGCGGAGAGCCCACGTGGAACAAAAGGCTGCGTGGCTGAGCCTGACAGACTTTGCTGTGTCCTGGGGAAAAAGAACTCGGGGGGTTTTATTAAACATTTTCAAGTAAATACCCCAGGAAGGAAAAGCTTTCTGCAGACACGCACTCGGCTGCGCAGCCCACGCAGCTTTTACAGTCAGTGCGTGGAGCATCCTCAGATCCCATCCCAACCTCCAGCGCTGGCGCGGCAGGAGAGGTAAAAGCTTCCCTTTTAGCAGGACCCCGCTCTGACCGCGGCAGCGACAGCAAATATCGCCCAGGGGATGATCATTTCCATGGCAGCGCGTTGCAATACGGTGAGCAGACAGCGGGTGCACCGCGAGCGGCACACGCTGTTGCCTGATCAAAAAGCCAGCCCGGGTCAGGGCTGGGCAGGCTCTGAGCTCGCCCTGCAGTCACTGGTGGTGAGGGGATGCGAGCACTGCCCGAGGTCTGCCTTGGAAGAGAGGGCCAGGGGGATTTATAAAGCAAAACTTCCCTCAAGAGCTGGCCCTGCATTTTTCCTCTCTGAGCAAACAACCCAGCTCCTTCCCCGGCACACTGACCACATTCAGCTGGACACGATTGTCTTGTGCCCCGTCACTCTTTAGATTTCAATCCCATCAGCCCCAGGAGTCTTGCCAGGCTAGGGCTGTGTTTCTCTGGTTGTAGAAATGTCACCTTATCTCAGAAAATGCCACCGGTGTTGTTATTTAAACAATAATAGGGTTAAAGTTAATAATTAGGAAGCGAAAGTGACTGGCTTGCACAGTTTCCAATTACTTTTCTCCTCTCATCTGTGTGATCTGAGCTCTCTCCTCAGCATTCCCTGTGGTGGAGGCAGGGTAGAGTTTTAAATAGAATTAAATCCCTTTAACATCAGTTTTGCAGCAGCAGAGCTCGTGCTAAAATGCCTGTGCCGTGCAGGGAGGGTTTGGGACCTCGCTGGTCCCCCCAGTTGGGAACAGGACAGGTTGTGCTCTGCACACAACAGGAACACCCCAGCTGCAACACAGCTACAACCCAGGGACCACAGATGAAGGGAAAACTCTGCAAAATATGGTGTTTTGCTGATGGGCAGAGAAGAAGGGGCTGCACAGGGCATTTTGAAGCTCAATTGAGCCCCAACCTGGAATCTGCTGAGGCCTGTGCCGGAGTCACGGGCAGGCCTTTGTCCCCAAAAACTCTGCAAGTGCTGGAAGTGACTGGGAGGGGTTGGAAGTGAGACACGAGCCTCGCAGAGCTCCCACTGCCACGTGTTTGTTGCCAGCCCCTCACGGCTCAGTGCCATCCCTCCAGCTTGCCCCCAGGGTGTGCCACTGCTGGGACACGGTGACAGGGTTTTATACCCTCCTGCCATAACGAGCTCGTTTGTGTGAGGCTGGGGAACAGCAGAGGAGGCGTTTCAGAAACATCCAGCTGGGGAATGTATCCCTGGAGAAGTGAGTGTCAGGCAACATTTGGCTGGTTGAAAACAATAAAGGTGGGGAGAGCAGCGCTGTGTCAGCTGCACTTCCCTGTCCCCTCTGCAAATACCCCAAGTGTTATGTTGGGCTCTCTGCAGCCTCACAGACGGGTTTGACTGTATCCAGGCACGGATTTTCCCCCTCCTTGGCTGTTACCACAGCAGTCCAGGCATGCCTGGGCAGCTCCAGCAGGGCCCTCATTGCAACACAGGAGGGAAGAAAACTGTATTTATCGTGTGCATCGGTACAGCTAATGACTGCACAGACACAGAGAGCTTTTGTGGAGGCATAAAGCCCTGCATGGGTTTGAGGTGGTGGGGCTGCTGGGTGCCACAGCTTTGAGCACTTGTATGGTTTCCTGGTTGCACCACAGACCTGCTGTAGGTTGAATCTGTGGGGTTTTGGAAGCGGTTGGGCTCGGTCTCTCTATATGCACGTTGCAGAATGAGTGAAGGCACACAGGAGCCCTGGGCTGAGAGGACTGTAGAGTCACAGAATGGTTTGGCTGGGAAGGGATCTTAACCTCCTTCCAACCCCCCTGCCATGGGCTGGGACACCTTCCACTACACCAGGTTGTTCAGAGCCCCATCTAACCTGGCCTTGAACACTTCCAGGGGTGGGGCAGCCACAGTTCTTCTGGGAAACCTGTGCCAGTGCCTCACAGGGAAGAATTTCCTCCTAATATCCAATCTGAACCTGCCTTCTTTCAGTTTGAGGCCATTCCCCTTGTCCTATCATTCCATGCCTTTGTCCAAAGTCCCTCTCCAACTCTCCTGTAGCCCCCTGATGCACTGAAAGACTCTGAGGTCTTCCCAGAGCCTTCTCTTCCCCAGTCTGAATGCCCCCAGTTCTCTCAGCCTGCATATCCTGAGCTGGAAGGGATCCACAAGGATCCAATTCCTCCAAGTCACGAGCAGACCCCTCTTCAGCTGGGGCACGCAGGGTTTGGAAGGTGCTTCTACAACTGGGGGTACTGCTGTCCCACCAAGGTCACCCCCGCACTCCGGGCTCAGCCTCGCTCCAGCCTCCTTGTTCCCACCGCCAGCTCCCGCATCCCATCCCTCCTCACCTCTCAGCTGCCCATCAACCCCCTGGGGCAGCGCTCCTACCCCCAGCACCCCCCCAGTATTTCTCCCGGGCCGTTCCCGCTCATCGCCGCGGAGCTGCTCGGTGAGGGGGAAAAGGGAGGGATCGCGGCGGCGGGGGCCGCTCTGGAATCCCCCTCCCTCCAAGGGGAGCGGCGGGGCCGTGCCGGAATTCCCCCCCCTTCCCTGCCCATCCCGCTCCCCATCCCGCTCCCGCAGCGCGGGGCGGGGCGCGCCGCCCCCCACCCGCCCCTCCGCGCCCCCGCGGCCGCTCCGCGCCCGGCGGCGGAGGGCGGGGAGGGCGCGTTGTAGCCGGGGACACGCACACGGACACGCACACGCAGGGCGGCCCCGCAGCGCGGCTCTGCGGCCGAGCCCCGCCAACAAAGACCCCTCTCCGTGTACCCCCTCCGTCCCCCCCGCCCTTCGCCGGCCGCGCCGCCGCCCCCCGCGGGATGTAGCCGGGCCGGGAGCCCCAGCGAGGCAGCGGCCCCGCCGCTCCGAGCCCCGCAGCGAGGCCGGGAGGCGGCGGGCTCAGAGGCGCTGCCGCCACCATGGGCAAATCCAACAGCAAGTTGAAGCCTGAAGTTGTGGAGGAGCTGACCAGGAAAACGTACTGTGAGTGCCCCCGGGGGGCTCGCCGGGGGGATGCGGGAGGGATGCGGGGGTGTCCGCGGGTCCCCCTGGGTCGGTGCCGCGGCGGAGCGGCGGCTCCTGCGGGGCCGCTCCCGGGGAGGGCGCAGGCTCGGCCGGGCTTTGTTGGAAGAATTCAGGGATTGGCTTGGGAGGAGGAAAAAACCCATAAGGCAGCAGAGACACGGAGAGGGGCAGCGAGCCAGGGGAACGCGCCGTTTTCTTACAAAAAACCCTCCATCCTCCGTGGCCTATTTCTTGAGCCTCCGGGAACGGCGGGGCCAGGGCCGCATCCTGCCCGCCCGCGGCGCCCACCGGAGCATCGCGCCCTCCTTCGCCGACCCCCCGCCCATGCCCCGAGCATCCTTCCCCCGGGCTGCCCGGCCCCCGGTACCCAGGGCCCGCCGCGGGGATTGTCCTCCTTGGAGCCAGGCAGCAGCTCCCGGAGTCTGGGTGGCTTCCAAAGTTTGGGTGCGTTAGTTGGAGGGGTTCCCTTTGTTATTGCGCTCTGAAGTGAAGAGACCTACACCGGCGAGTTCGGTATTTTTCTGAGTATCTCAGTATTGGTTTAATAACCTGATTTTCTAATCGAGCGGCTTTCCCGTCTGGACTTCCACGTTAATCTTATTAACCTGGCTGGTGCCTGAGCCATCTAGTTTTAGCAAAATTAGGTGTTGGGTTTGTTTTTTTTTAACCTGAAGGATGCACAAAGGAAACAAAGGCTTTGGTGGCTCAAGTTTGCCTCCCCGCTTGCGGGTCGCAGATATTCCCTTAACGTGCAGCAGACCTGCGAGCTCTCCCCGCTGTCATTGCTGCAGTCCCACGGCAGCGCTTACCCAAAAAGGCAATAGATTAGGATGCAGCAAGTTCTCCCATATGGAGAAGAGGCAATACTGGTGCATTGCACAACCCTACACGCGGGGTTGCTCTGCCGTGGCAGAGCAGGCAGGGGGAGGGCAGGTTGCAGGGGGCCATGTCCTCATAGCCAGAGAGGGAGTGATGGTTTGGGTACCCCAGCTGGGTTTCCTCAAAGTGCTCAGGCAGAAGAAATAGTGAGAAAGAGGCAGTGCTGGCTGGGCACAGCCCCTGCCTGGAGCTGGAGCTGAGCCCTGGGTTTTGGTGTCCTCACTGCAGCTGTCACCCACGGCAAGTGCAGCCACACCAGGCCAGGTACAGTTATTGCTGTGCTGCAGTGATGATCTGATCTCTGATGAAGAGGGGTCAGGGGACAGCCAGCCCCAGCACAGCCTTGTCTGCTGGTGATCTCCTGCATGTTGGGCTTTCTGCACCCCTGGGGTGGCTCCTCTCTGTGCCAGGAAGGTGCAGCCCCAGTGGGGCCAATGTGGGGCACATGGGCAGTGATGTCCCTTGTCTTACCTGCAGCCACAGCCACCCAAACACAGTGCTGGCGAAACCATCATCTGTGGGCACGGGGATGTTTTCTTGCTGGATAAGGCCAGTAGAGAGTCATTGCCTTTTTCATCACTTCACTCCCAACTTTCTGCTCCTCTCTTTCGGGTGCCCTCCTCTTTCCACTGCACCTTTTCCAAGAAAGATTATGGTTCTCTGATCTCTCCCTGGGTGAGTTCCCAGCCTGCCTGTGGATTTGCCTGCCTGCCCTGGACCTCTCACTGCCTCTTTGCCAAGGTGCAACAGACCCATGTGAGCCGTGCAGGTGAGGCAGCAGCACCTGGCAGCCACACCACGAGGCAGCACATGGCTCTTGGCATGGCCAGAGCCTGGTGCAGCATCCCAGCGTGCCCCAGCAGCGTGTGGCTGGTGGTGTGGTGCCTGTCAGGGAGAGCCGTCGCTAATTCCAGGCTCTGTTTGTTGATCTCTGCTCATTCCACCTCGTGTCTCTGGGATTAATTACTTTTGCTGAGCATTTCTGCCCCTTTTCTGCAGCTGTCAAGGCGAGCGTGCGTTCCCTTGTCTGGCAAAGCACTTCACAGGGCCCTCCCAGGCACGGCTGAGAGCCTCTGATTTATCTTCAGACCCTGAGAGATTGGAAAGAGATTAATTTCCTTCTGTGTTTTGGGGAATCCAGGCAGAGGAGAGGCAGGTAGGAGGGCAGGGCTGTGCTGAGTACGGTGGGAGGGACTGATCCAGACCTCGGTGCTGTGGCTGTTGGAACAGCTGGAGCAGGGGATAATCATACCCACAAATCCACGGAATATTCAAGAATTTCTGGGGGCCTGCTTGGGAGAGGTTTTGCTCCACAGCACGGTGGTATTTCGGCACCTTTCTGTCAGATGCTGGTGACCATCCCGAGAGCATCCCTGGCCTGTGGTGCCTGTCCCGTGTTCTGGCTGCCACGTTACTGAGCAGGTGCCACCCCTGCCTCGTGCATGGTGCTGCTTCTGCTGCTGCTGCTGCAGCACATCTGGGCAGATGTCTCTGGGAGCCTGAAACTGGCAGGTGATGATGGGGACCCGCTTTTGTCCCAGGGAGGCTCCTGAGGCAGCGTGAGCCGTGGCTGTGGTATGTGAAGGGCTTCTCCCACGCTGGGATTTCCTTCTGTTGCATCATTTTCTGTTTGTGTGATTTCCACACAAAATTAGGCAAATAACAAAAAGCCCCTTCTCTGTTCTGCAGGATCAGAGGGATGGGAGGATGTCGCCCCCCCTCTCCCCATCCCATACGGCTTTTTTGCAGATTTATCTCATCCATGGGACGCTGCAGTCCGTGCCTGTGTCTCCTCAATGTTCTTCCAGTGCCTGGTGGCTTCTTGTGTCCCCTGTCCCCTCTGGGGCCTCCATCTCCCATTTGTGGCGTTTCACTGCTCGTAGCAATCCTGGGACAAGCAGGTGGTGGGAACAGCCAGGAGAGGAGTCTGGGATGTTTTGTGTGCCAGGACAATTGTAGGCAAGGTGGTTGAGCTGAGGATGCTGCAGAGCTGCCGTCAGCGGCCTCTGTGAGCGCTGAGAAATATTTTACTGCGTGTGTTCAGAGCAGGTTGTCCCAGGCCCTGCTGGGAACCGGACATGGAAAGGCAGGAGCCTGGAAACCTCTTCTCTTGGCTCCCCTCCCCACTCCGCTCCTGACTTACAGTGCTGGGGGCCAGGTTTTAATGGCACTTGGACACCTAAAGGCAGAGAAGGACATCTGAGGGCTTCTTTGAAGTGCTGGCTGCCCAAGTTCCGTTGGTTTGGACCCATCACCACGTGCACTTCTGCATCTCTGGGCACCTGTGTGCCCAGGAATACCTGGCAGTGGAGAGCTCACCCATCTGCCAGGTGCTGGAGCAGGGCTGGTGGGGAGAGCCAGACTGAGGGGTGAGGATTTAACCCTCCTCAGAGGCCAGGTTGGTGGCACAGAGGAGCATGCAGGAGAAGCCAGTGCCTAATGAGAATAATACTGAATAATAAATTATGCAGTTCTTTGTACTTCTATGCATCCTTTCATCTGAAAGCCCTCGAAGTGCTTTATAATAATTAATTTATTAATCTTCCTCATGCCTCATTGTGGTAGCTCAGAGGTGCAGTTCTGTGTTGTGTCCCAGGAGGTGGTAACTCCTGAGACTCGAAGGAACCACCATCCTCCCTGGATCACATCTGACAATCCCTCTTCTACAGGGATTTAAACCTGAGCTTAACTTGGGCCAGGTGCTCAGAGCTCAGGGCCACAGTGGGATTTGGGATTGTGCTTAAGAGCCTTGTGGGGCCATTCAGAGGGTTCTGCTAAGCTGGAGATTTGTGAAGGTCCTGGGGTGTGGCTGCAGCCTGCATGAAGTCTGTAAAGTACACATGTGCAGTTGTGGGTGCAGAGTATGTGTTCTGGGTGGAAATGGCTTGACATGGACTCCTGGCAGAGAAATTGGGAGAGAAACACAGTGCCAAGTGTCCCTTCTTGCAGCAGCGCTCCCAGGCCAGCCCAGCCACAGCACTGCCAACCCTTAAAATCATGGAGCAAGCTTAACAACGTGAGGTTGTTTCAGAAGAGCGTGTTAGCCCTTTTTTTCTTTAAATATTTTGGGGGAGGATTGGCTTTCAGGGTTCCCTCTGCGTTGCCTGCGTGCAGAACCAACACCGTATTATTTTGATGCCAACTGCAATAGCTGAGCAATCCGTCACGCTCGGAGCCGAGCCGGTGCAGCAGCATCGCTGCTGGGGCTGGGCCGGGACCAGGGGGATGGTCCTGGTGCTCTGGGGGCCACGGTGGGACTCCAGTGAAGGCGTGGGAGCCACGGCAAGGGTGCTGAAGCGGCATCCAGGCTGCAGAGCGGGTGCGGGGAGAGGAAGATGCTCTTTTCCCAAGAACCGCGTCCCACCCACCGTGATCTATTTTGTGGATTTCTAAACTCACTCCGGCATCATCATCGTTTTCTGCTCTTTTACAATAAGCCACAGAATTGGCTCTGCTGCTCGACAGTAATGCAGGGAATTAATGGGCATTAGTTTAAGAGCAAACGATAAACATATTGATTTGTAGTTACGGGGGTACGTGGTGGCGGGTGAAATTCTGTGGGAAGGGAGAGGAAATTCTACGATTGCAGCAGTTTTCAGCCAGGAAAATCACTTGGTTCCTCTCTGGGGAAGCCAGGCTGGGGCTTTACTCCATCGTGCCACCCCTGTGCCGGGGAAATGTGCTGCTGGGGTGGTGGGCAGGAGCAGAGGAGGGACCTCAGAAGCTCCCCACTGCTGCTGCTTTATTTTTAGCCTCCAAAGAGTTTGGCCCCAGGCACTGGGTTTCTCTGCCAGGTTGGTTCGTGTTGAAATCCCTCCTGTTGCTCATCCAGCAGAAAGTGGGGTGAGCTGGCCGGGTGGCTACGGGCCCGTTATCCCTCAGTGGCAAATGCTGGGTGGAATTTTCACGGTGCTGGGTGGCTTTTAACAGGGGATGGAGTGACAGGACAAGGGGGAATGGCTTCACACTGAGAGAGGGCAGGGTTGGGTTGGATACTGGGAAGAAATTCTTGATGGTGAGCATGGTGAGGCCCTGGCACAGGTTGCCCAGAGGAGCTGTGGCTGCCCCATCCCTGGAAG